CACCGGCGCCTCTTCGGGCTCTCCCCTTGCCCGAGGGTGCCCACGTTACCCTCTTGATCTTGCCGAGGTAGTAGAGCCCGTCTGTCCAGCGGCACAGCACGTACTGCCCCTCGCTCAGCCGCACCATCAGCTCCGGGCAGCCGCTGCCCCTCCGCGCTGCCTGCGGGACCCGGCCGGCGGCCGCGTACACATCCCGGATCAGCGGGCTCAGCTCCGTGCCCTCCATCGGCACAGCCTGCAGGGGACACACACGCTGTCACACGCTGTCACCCGCTGTCACCCGCCCTCCCGGCACGGCATCGGCTGGGCGCAGCATCCCCGAGCGTTCTGCCTGGCAGGACCGAGGCCGGAGGCGGCTCAGCCCCACCAGCAGGGGCTCAGGACGCTGCAAAGCAGAGCCGCTGAGACCGTTCCTTTCCGCGAAATCCAGGGAGCAGCCAAAATCTTTGCTGCTGGTGAACAAGAGGGATTTAACCCCCAACAGGCTCCTACAGCAGCGAGACGCGTCCGCGTGGTTCCCTTTTGGGAAGGGGCACATAGGGAATAAAAGTTTTAAATGTACTGTGATTTTAAAATCACGATTTCCGCGCAGTTTTGCGGGCTCCCAAAGCAGCGGGACTGCTGCGGGAGCAGGGATGTGCCAGCACCACCCACAGCGAGCGAACCCAGGCGGCCAAATGTCACCGCCACGAGGTTTGGGGTGCAGGAGGCAGAGAAACCACCCAGAGCAGAGCTGCGATCCCCAAGGACACCACGGAAACGACTTGAAAGGGACTTTTCTCCCCTTGGCGCTCCCGTCACGGCCACACGTGTGGCCTCACGGCACCACGCGTGTCCCGGCGCCGCGGATCGCGATACGAGCCCGCCCTGCCCGGCCCTGCCATCCGTGAGGACTCTCCCGCTCGCCGGGAGCCCCGGGACGGGCAGAGCGATCCCGCTCCCGGCAGAGCCCGGCGCTCCCCAGCCGCGGCACCGCCGGGTCCCCGCGTGGGAGCGCGTCCGAGCGCGGCCGCGGCTCCGCTCCGCGCCCCCGGGGCTCCCGCAGAGCCCCGCGCTTCCCTCCGCCCCCGCCGCTGCCCTCCCGGGGCTCCCGCCGCTCTCCCCCCGGCCCCGCGGACACGTGCGGGAGCGCCCACGCCGCTCCGGTACCGAGCGGCGGCACCGTCCGGCCGGGTCCCCCGCGCCCCGGTGGCACCTGCCGGGGGTGGCCGCGGGCAGCCCCGAGCGGCGGCCGCGGCCCCGCCGCCATTGGCTCATTCAAAGGCGGCCGCGGCGCCTCCGCCCGCCCGTCCCGCCCGTCCCGCCCGTCCCGCGCGGTGCCCGCGGCGGGGCCGGTGCCGCCCTTACCGCGGTGCCCCCGGCGCGCTCAGCGGGCGCTGGGGGCGCGGGCCCGGGGCGCTGCGGGGCGCGGCGGGGGCCGGGCGCGGGGCGCCATCTTCCCGCGCTTCCCCCGCGCTCCCGCCGGCATTGACGTCCCGGTTATGCAATTAGCGGGGCCGCCCCCGCCGCCTCCCACGGGTCCGGTCCCACCGCAGCGCAGCGCATCCCCGCGGCACCCACCGGCACCGCACGGCACGGACCGGCACGGCACGGCACACAGCGGCACCGACCGGCACGGCACGGACCGAACCGGACCGGACCGGACTGGCACCGACCCACTGGCGTGACACGGACCGGCAGCGACCGGACTGGCACCGACCGATCGGCATGGACTGGCATCGATAGGAACCGAGCGGGCCGGGCCGGCAGGGCGCATCCCGGCTCGGCACATCCCGGTGCTCCGGAGAGCGCAGGCGGCATCGCCGGGGCCGGGACGGGGCACCCAGGGTCGGCCACGCACCCACAGCCCGTGGAGAGGCACCGTCACCCTCTGCCACACGCGGGACGTCCCCGCCTGTCCCCTCGAGCCGTGGCTGCGGCCGGGGAAGGGCTTCCCCCGGTGCCCCGGGGCCGGGGGCGGGCAGGGGGTGGGATGCGGGCAGTGCCTGCGCAGCATTGCCCCGAGAGGGAACGACCTGTGCTCGCCGGGATTCCTGGAAACGGGAGCAGCCTTTCAGCCTTTCTCTGAATCTCACAGAGAAAAATCAGTCGCTGTAAAAATGCTTCGGTCGGTGCCAAGAAGAAATCTGTAGGATTCGGTGTTTGTTGGAAAGCGATGCTGGAAAAGCAATGTTTTCCAGGCTGCTCGGGCCATAGGAGAGCCGATTCCCAGTGCGGGGTCTGGGCCAAGCAGAGCCCGTTCGGCTTTTCCTGCCCGTGATGGATGCGGCCCCGGGAGCCGGGGCTCAGACGTGTCACAAAGCTCGAGCGCCAGGGGAGAGCGGCACGGCCCGGGCTGAGCCTCCCTTTCGGCACCCGGCACTCGGGACTCATTTATTTAATCAAACTTTTCCATAAAACACTGGTGTCAGAGTGATGCACCTGCGGAGGGGTCGGGAAAGGCGATTCCCTGAGCCGCGGGTCGGGCACGGCCGCCCCGCTGCTCCCTGTGCGGGGCTGCGTGAGAAAAGCCGCGTGTGCCAAGTGTGCCGTGCCCCTGAGCAGCCCCGGGCCCCAGCTCCCCGTGAGTCACACCGGGATCCGTGTGAGTCACCTCGGGTCTAAAATAACCCACAGCCCTCGGAGGAGCCCCGCTCCTCGCTCCGTGCCCCGGGGCTGCTGCCTTTGCCCGAAATGCCCGGGACTGCCGCGCTCCGGGGCCAGCGTTCCTGTCGCAGCCTGTCCCGGGGGCACCGGAGGAGCAGCTCCCTCCTCCCGGCCCCCCGGGCGGTGTTCGCAGCGTGCTGGGCGCTCGCCGCAGGAATGCGGATGGAGTGACACGGAAATCAGAGCTGGATCGAGCTCGCCGGGGGTGAACGCAGGGAGAACCTGACTGAAACCCTTCCACACGGAGAGAGAGCACGGGAACATCGCGTTGGGACAAAAGTCTCCAACAAAAGTGGAAAAAAAACCCACCCAGAATTTGAGATGTATTCTGTATTTTCTAGTAATATAATTACAGCAACATAAAGAACATTTAACTCTGGTTTCTTTGCAGGTGCTTCTGTCACAGCATCCAGCAAGCCTGCAGTGAGCTACTGGGTGCTGCCCTTCTTCTTGTCTTCCTCCTGATATTTCTTTCTCCTCTTTCCTTCTCCTCATCCTCCTCTTCCTCTGCACACCCACCTGGCCATGCCCTGGTATCCCATTTCTGTGGCACTGCGGGATGGCGGTCCCTGGCAGGTGCTGGGGCTGTCACAGCAGCTGGAGCAGCTGGACACTGGTTCGGCACCCGAGGCTGCCCCGCTGTCCATGATGGGGCAGGGCAGGATACTCGCCGGTAAAAGGAGATTATTCTGTGAGCACGGGAACAGAAATGAACGAGAGCCCCAAAAGCGGCCAAAGCTGAGGGCAGCAGCCCCACGCCCTCCTCGGCCAGCGAGTGGGGCCAGCCCAGCTCCAGGGCAGGGCTATGGAATTCCCAAAAAAACAGCTTTTGCAGAAGGATTTGAATGAAGCCCCGTGTAGATACCTACTCCAAACTCCCAATTTTTTTCCTTAAAACCTTTTGCTCGCTCCCCCACACCCTGCCCTGGCCGAGGGGAGGTGCTTTCCCTCTTCCACGGGGATGGACACCCGGGAATCTCGGCCCGGGCTGGAGCAGAGCCTGCGGGGAGAGCGGGGCGAGCAGCTCCCAGCGCTGCCTCTGCTTTGAAAACTGCCCAGAAATCGCTGCAGCCTCTTTTCACAGTGTTTTTCTTTCTTTGAAAACAGGAGTTGGAGGAGGGGTTGGATGTTGGCGTGTAGCCTTGGAGACCGAAGCCGAGGAATATTGAATGGAAACCCAAACACGGAGCTCCCGGGAGCTCCAGGCCTGGCGCGGGGATCGGAGCTGCGGGAGCGGCTCTCGCTGGCCCCGGGGGCTCCCAGGATGGGCGACCCAGAGCGGCTCCCAGGGGCCGCTTCCAGCCGGAGGAGCAGCCGGTTCCATGGGACAGCCCTGGCCATAGGAGCGGCTCCCACAAGTTGGTCATTCCCCTCTTCCCTCTGTTCACAGGGTCCCGACCCCACTGGAGCCACCTGAGTGACCAACACAACCAGTTCAAGCCATCGTGTGCAAGGTTGCAGTTCTTTCTCTGGGCTGAACAAGGGTTTATAAGCCAAAAAATTGCCTGGTGGGTTTTTTTTTAGCTTTATTAGTCCATTAAAAAAAAACTTAAAAAATCCCTCCAAACCTTGTCCTTGACTATTTCAGACCATCTTAGCTGTAGGAGCATTTTGACTCTTTGCCAACCTGGCCATTAAACACAGAATAAATGCTGCTGATTTAACTCCCTCAAAGTCTCCGTGATTTTTCTGCCTCGTTTGCTTTGATCCAGACAAAATCACACAGGAACGATTTGCTGGATCAGAGAACTCTTGATACGGCCCCGATTCCAGCTCCTTTCAGCGCCGGCCGCTTCCTCATGGAGACGCTTCTGCTGCTGAGGGTCTGGGAGAGGAAAATCGGGAAGGGCCGGGCTGGGAGCGGAGCCCCGGGCCTGGGAAGGGGAACCGCGGATTCCTCCGGCTCCGGCCGAGCCTCGCAGGGCAGCCCGGGCTCCTGAAGCCCCTCCAGGGCTGGAAATGCCCTCGGGAGAGAGCCTGGGGTGCTCTCAGTCAGAGCAGATCAGGCTGAGGTCTGGCTGCTCTCTGCCGGCTGTGCCTTTGAAAGGAGGAGCTCTGGGCATCGGGTTTCGTGTCTGTTTGTTTATTTAGCATGGATTTGATCCATATCCGTCTTTTTTTCAAACTGAGCTCTCTCTGTGGGCTCTGTTGAAGAGCCTGGAAGTGCTCTCCCAGCCAGGCAGGTTTGAGGGAAATAGAGAGAGATGTTCTGGGCATTTCCAAAAGGATCTCCCTTTCCCAGAAAGAAGGAAAGGAAACAGCAAGGAAGGAAAAGTGTAGCACAGCTCAGCTGTTTCTGTAACATCTCCAAGCTGCTCAATTTCCTATCTGACAGTGAAATAAAACACCAAGCCTTTCTTAAGTTAGTGAGTTTTATTTAGGAAATAAATAAAATCATAAGAAAAATATCAATGATTGTAATAAATACAGCACTTGTCAAAGTGACACAGAGAGGAAAAGCATAATCTATTTAGGTAAATTACTCCAGCACTCTACCCCTGAAAGAACATTTGAAAGGTGGAATAGAGGAAAATACACAGAATATCCAGTTCCTTCCCAAACAAACTTTGATAAACATTTGTTTATGGGGTGGGTGTTTTTGAAATGCCATGTTTTATCACAGCTAATTATTTTAAAGGCCAGCCACGCTTCAGGAGCTGCTAATTTGTCTCTATGATGCACTTGAGGAAAAGCGTGTCCTCCCTCACGTAGGCGTGTTTGGGGGACTGCAGCTTGGCCAGGGGCAGGAACAGGGGGCAGCCACTGGCCACATTCATCTCATTCACTGGCCTCTGGAAGGAAGCAGAAGCCAGGTCTGGGCGAAAGGCATCGATTACGTGCTCCCTGTTGTTTTGGTCAAGCAGCATAAACGTCACCTGAAAAACAGAATGTGGCAGTGAGGAGTTACTGGGGTGGAAAACAAACCAGGGACAGAAGTGCTGCAAAAGCAGCTGGATGCTCCATTGATAGTTAAATACAAACTGTAACAAAGGTTTCCAACCTGCAAGGTCGGTTCATGTGAACGCCCAGATGAAGTTTTTAAACCTTTGCTACCCATAAAATGAAATTAAATTAATCAAGTAAGGAATTATTCCTTGGTAGAGAACTGCACAGTCCAAAGTCTTTCTCTCCTGACAACTTGAACATCCCCTGGGTTTGGTTACAGTCATTGCATTTATTCTGTTTTTGTGCTTTGGAATCAGAAGAAACAGCTCAGCTGCCCATGCACAAATATGTAAAGGATACAACCCAAATATCCCCACCTCATTACCCCTTTTATTTACTCACTGTTCTATAGCTTGAAATATGAAAGATCTGTAACAATCTTTTAATACAGCGATGATTGGGAACTTTGATTTCTATTTTTTTTGGCTGTTAGCTGGCAGTAAAAGTATTTATAGGAAAGGTTTACAGAATCATTACCCCACAAAGGCAAGTGCCAGAGCACAGGTCAGGCCCTGCCATGGTTTCACTGCTTTCCTAACCATTGTTGCCATTATCAGATCACACTTAGGGGAAAAATCAGCCCAGGATCACATCAGACATCTGTGGCACCTCTGTAAGTGGAACTCTCACCTCACCCTTGTGATGCCTTCAGGCACCAAAACAGGTGTTTGCAATATTCCAAACGTTCTGGTGGTGAAAATCCTGCCTGGCAAAGTCTGGAATATCAGCAGGAGCAGCTTTCCCTGCAAGGGACTCCAGTCAGAGACAAATCACTACCCAGGGCTGCAGGGCAGCTCCTCACCTTTGGAAAGGGATGTGGAAAAGCACTCAGCTTCCACAAAACTCCAGGGAAAGAGTCACCTTTGGCTGGGATCAGATGTGGGAAGGTTTCCCTTCTTACCTTGTGCCTGAAGGGCCACGGGAGCAAAGCGTCGTAATCTCCTTTCATGACAACGAAGAACAGGGACATGTGGGTTCCTTTCCCTGTGCCATCCCCGTTCAGGTACACCCTCAGACACACCTTGTAGCCATACTTTGCAGTGTAGAAAGCTGAAAATCAGAACTCTTCATTAGTAGAGCTGTTTCGGGGGGGAAAATAAGGCATAATGTGTGTTCTGGCATATGGGAAAAGGCAATGTGTGACAGACGTGGTTTGCTCTCACAGAAAGGGGAACAGACAAATCAGCACCCCCTGGAGATTACAAGCAATGAAAACCCAGTGGTTGGAATCCTTTTAGTGCCTCAAACCTTGGTGAAAATGACCTGTTATTAGCCACATAAGTGTAATTTACCTAAACCAGTCACTTCCCACATGGGAAGGAGCTGCAGCCACGTGGTGCCAGCTGAGGGCTGGGAGGGATGGAGCCACTGCAGGCAGCTGTGCTGGGGACCAAGGGCAGGATGAGAGCCCAGACTAAAGCACAGCCCTCTGGAAAAGCACATCCCATGCCCTGGATTACAGATCTCTGCACAAACAGCAGCTTGGCTTAAGGAGCTGTGGCACGAGCAGAAAGGAGCAGAGTTTTGGAGAAATGGGTGGGGGGGATTCAGAAGGGTTGGGGTTTGTGAACACACATCTCCATCCTGTGCTTACCTGGGGAGTACAAACTGACTGTCCTGCCAGTCACAGAGTCCTGGAGCTTCCTGCCCACCTCAGTGATTTTCCAGAGGAAGATGCCATCGTAGGAGGCTTGCTCAGAGAACAGCAGGCTCTTGTGCAGGCTGCTCAGGCCTGCATCCTTCTGCATCAGGCACTGGTGCAGCTCTGCAATCTGGGAGAAAAATCCAGTCCTCAGCCTCCCCCTGCTCCAGGCTGTGCTGCAGGGGTGGCTGCATCCTTCTGGAGTCCTCATGTTCTGGGAGCTCTGCTTTGATTCCTTTCTAAGTGACAGCAATATGTCAAAACATACCCAGAGATGTTGTTTGGGCCTCCAGGCAAAATGTTGCTGTGAGAGGATCAGGCAATTAAACAGCTCTGCTGCCTGCTCACAGTCTGATCAGGCAAACTAACACTCAACACTCTCAGGACTATCTCACTACCTAAGCGTGGATTTAGAGAACAAATATTAGAGATCCACGTTTGAAAATGGATCAAACAACAAAAGGATCCTGAATATGTGTCCAGAACTGAGCCCTGCACAGCTCAGACTCCTGTTCTGGTCCCTAGCCCAGCTCCCCTGATGTGGGTCAGCATTTCTTGTGTACAGAACAAGCACCCAGACAATCCCTGCTGTCATTTTTACCTTCAGCTCAAGGCCCCGTATGATGTTCTGGTCCAGCTCACTCTGTCTCCTGAAGGCCAGGATTTCCAAATTAGAGCTCTCCACCTCCTTATTGAGCACTGCCACAATGTTCTCAAACACGTGCAGCTTATTTTCCAGCTCAGAAATCACCTTCTCCCTCACGAGCTGCTGCAGGACAGACTCATCCCCAGGGACAGAGGAAGCAGGGAAACAGTCCAGCTCTGGCTCTGCTGGCATCTGCAGCTCACAGGTGCTTTTCCCTGCACTTTTCAAGCTCAGCTCTGGCCGTGGGGAGAAGCCCTTGGGGCACAGGGATCCCTGCAGGTGCCTCATGTGCTGCAGCAGGAGCAGCATGTGGGCTCCCACCGCGGATTTTTCGTGCTCCTGGATCTTCTCTTTGCTTCCCTGGAAGAGACAAAGCTGTCACTGTCCCCTCCACAGCCACCCCAGCCACCCTTCAGCCCCTTGGGAGATGGAGAACTGCAGGGTGCAGGTGCAGCTCCATCACCTGGCAGCAGAAGTGCTGATTCTGTTCTGGGAGACACCTCCCTGAAGGGAATGTCCAAACTAGGGTTTGGAGCATCCTGAAGGGACCTGTTTCACTCACCCTAAATGCACAGCCAACTTCAGAAAAACAACAGCCATCCTTGCTGGCTGAGGATGTAGAGTGGCTCTGTTGGGAAAAAAAAAAGCAGAGGAAATAATCAAAACCAATTGAAGGGAATTCTTTTATTTCCCTACAAACACCTAAGCCACAAACCCAGCAGCTATAGCTCAGATTAATTCAAGTCAAGGTAATTCCACAGCTTCCAGTGCCCAAGCTGCTTTGGAAATGGATGGTAAATCAATTCAGAGTGTGGTGAGAGCAAGTGTCCTGCACACAGCCTGGCAGTGAGGTGCCCATCTCCCAGAGCTCAGAATGACAGAACACAATTTAATGAGCACAGGGAGCAGCCAATTCCTCACAAAGATGCTGGCAATGCTGTACAGCACCTCCTGGTCAGGTGGCTCTCACTCAAGCTATGAGAGGAAACAAATATTTGCCCATTTTACAAGGTTAATTGGGAGGATAATTATTGAAGGTAATTGTGGGAGCAGGGGAGGGAAGGCAGTCAGCAGGGTTTGCTGGGATGTAAAGAGCAGCCAGAAACAACTGCTGGATCTGAAGATGTTCTCAGGTGTTTATTTAATCTAAATGAACAAGAGATAATTTTATTAATTGAAATAAAGCTGCATTGCACTCCTTTATCTTCCACCCACCTTTTCCTTTGATGCTGTTTCTGTTTGCACAGGTTTTTGTTCCTTGCATAAACTGCCTTCACATGAATGCTCCTGTCATTAAAACAAGGGAAAAAAAATCAGTGCCTTATTTAATTATTGAATTAAAGGTCACCCTGGGATATTGGATGCAAGATTGGCAATGTGCAGGTGTTGCCAGGTTCAAGTTATGTGCACACACAAAAAAATGTGCACTCACATAGGTGCAGTGACAAGCAGGGGGTTACAGAACAGGAAGCAACAATGACCAGCAGAACAGGAAATTCAAATATATACAGATATATATATATATATATAAATATATATGAACATAAACAGGTTACAGCACAGGAAACTCTAATATAAATTCAAATTCAAATATAACTCAGATATAAACTCTTCCTGCATTGACTCCACACACTTTGCTCAACGTGCAGACCCTTCTTGCATCCTGCCATGAGCACTTTGGAGGCTGGAATCCAAATTCTCCCTCGTGATGTGCTACAGAAAATGCACCACACTCGCAGGAGCTTCCTGCCTTTTCTGCCTGCAGGAAGGGTGAAGTGATCCCTGCCCCTGGCTCTGTAATATCTGTATTTCACACAGCAACTGCCAGCTTTCCCCTCACTCTGCACAGGGGGTGGCTTTCATCCTCACAAGCTCCTCTGCACACCAGTTCTGAGGTTTCCCTTTCAGTTCTCAGAAATGCAGCCACGGGGTTTTCTCACTCTCTAACTCATTTTTTAACACTTTTTATCTTGCCAGTGATCTTACTCATTTCTGCTCTTTTACTCCTCCAGCTCACCGATTTCTTGAGGGGGAGAGGGACTCTCCTTCAGAGGAGAGAAGTTTATTTAAAAATAGAGCAATACAAAAAAAAATCACCAGATCTTAAACTGAATGAATAAAATGAAGAGAGCAAGAGCAGCACCCAAAATTTACTATTTTCTCCCAGAGGGTTGTGGGCACACAGAATACCCACAAATAATCACAATGCTGAACCCGGTGCCAATTCATTAAAGCAGATAATGAATTCTACACGGACTAAAGGAGGCCGAGAAAAAGCCCCACCTCAAGGCCAACCCCCGGCTCGGTTGCCAAGGTTTCCCAACCAAAATATCAGAGAGGTGGTGGCTGAGTGGGAGGAAAGGAGCTCTGGGCAGAGGAGGGGCCGGGCTCAGGCTCCCCTGCAGCCCCAGCCCAGCAGGGCTGGCAGCAATTCCTGTTGCCACCTCCTGGTGCTCTCAGATTTGGGTTTAGCACCGGCAGGGTGAGCCTGGCTCTGGGTTCTCCTCTCTCTGCAGGTCACTAAAGGATGAGCAATGCTGGTTTGGCTTCTTTTTTCTACCTCTCTTGAGGCAGAAGGCACTTGTTCCTCTGTCGGGATTGAAGGTGCTTGTTTCCCACCCTGAGATATCCCACACTTTAATCCAACTCCACACCTGGAATCCCAGTGCTAGCAATCCATTTTGGAAGCCTTCTCCACGGCCTCAGGCCAAACACAGAATTTTCTTGTGGGTCTGTGGCCCTTCAGCACAGAAAGTTTAAAATTCTCAGCAGCCAGGACTGCCCAAGGAGCAGATTTTAGCAGAGCAGCCCATTCTTACCCCAGGAGGACTCATATTCCTTGCAAAGCTCTCAGCTCAGTGTTTGAAAGGCACCAATTTGTGACACTTTGGACACTCAGAACTATTTACATCTCTGAAATATTCAGAGCCCTCCTCTCCTGTGGGTCTTTAATCACCATGCCCAACTGCAAGGCTGGCAATTATCCTCTTGAAATCATTTGGAGGGAACAATATTCATTGTTTTGAGCAAATAACATCAAAAAAAAATACAAAGCAGATATGTTTGAATGGGCACTGAGATACTTGTGGTAGATTCAGGGTGAGATTTTCCTGGTCTGTGGACACTGCTGATAATTTGGAGATTTGCACCTGGTCAGATCTAATAGAAATAATATCTGACAGAATCCTGCCCTACACATTTGTGGGTAGTTTTAGTCTGAACAAACTTCAGCCACTTTCAAGATCCCCTCCTGCTGCTGTCTGTGCTTTTCTGGTTTTCTCTTGCCTCACACCAGGACTCATTTTGAGGCAGGAGCTGAAACCTGGGCTGCCCAAAGCCAGGGGAGCACCAGGGCCCTTTGTCACATCCCCAGCACATTATCACATCCATTTCCCCCCAAAGCTTGTGTGGGAAAATGATCAAACTCAGGAAAATTAAATATTCCCTGAGTGCAACGAAATCAGGATGGGAAAACGGCACCACAGATCATTGAAAGCATCAATAAAAAGCCTTTATTTGAGAGAGAAATGTTCTCACCTGGCACTCAGAGCTGGCCAGGCTGCACTGGCACTGCTGACACACTGTCACATTATTCACACATCCATTTTCCAAGTGATCTGCCAGCTTCCTCCTCATCACCACGTGCCCACAGCCAGTGTGACAGGGGATCAAAGCATATTCACATAAACTCTGATGCTCCTGGAAGTACAAAGTTATAAAGCAACCTGTGAAGTGCTCATTCACATTTATCTATAAATAGATATTCACATTTATCTATAAATAGTCTCTGTCCTGGCAGCCCAGGGCTCTGATCTGCATTTCTTCTAAGCTTGGGTAAAGTCCCACCCCACAGAGTTACTGAGATTACTGGTGAAAAATTCACCAGCTTTACTGGGGCTTTTTTTTTGTTAATTATTAATTTTGAAAAAATCTCAAAACCAAAACCAAAAGCAAACTACATTTGGTAAATTCAAACATGAGGTCTCCCTTAAAAAGCCCCTTAGGGCTTTTGCTTAAAAACAACATGATCCTGGTCCCAGCTCTCTCCCTTGTATTCATTACTCAGATTTGCCAAACCTTGCCCATTTAAATATTTTAACTGAGGCATTTGAGATCAGTCTGAAAAGAATGATGAATACAATCAATACATTGACAGAGGAGGGAATTATTTCTCCAATAAAACATGCCAAGGACATTGTCTCCAGAACAGTGTCCTGGAGACTGAACTACCCTGTCACCACCTGCTTGTAGCAGCCTTGCATTTAAATAACAAGGAACCACTGGATAAAATATCAAGCTGATTTAAGTTTGTGCAATGTGAGTTTCATTCAGAATGTTCTGGATTTGGCCAAAGCCCCACTAAAGTTAATCACAGAAGCACAGAATGATTCGGGTTGGAAGAAACCTTAAAAATCAACCAGTCCCAACCCCCTGCCATGGGCAGGGATAGATTAATGGCACATTAATCTCCATAGATTAATGGCATATTTTTTAGACAAAAACATTGGTATAAATCACAATAGTGACACTGATTCTAATTAATTGCATTAATTTGTGTCTGCTGATACCCTGGTTTCACTGCCTCTCTGTCCCCACCCCATATTCTTCTGAATAAACTCTCTTTGAACATACTTCAAAATCTTTCATGATACCAGACCAGCTGCATCCAGGAGTCACACAGTGGACTCTGAGCTCAGAAATCTCTTTATTAATGGCAGCATCACCAAAAGCCTGGAAAGAAAACAAAGTAATAAAAAAACATTGGTCAGAAAGCACTTTTGGATGCATCCTTGGAATAGGAACAGGGTGGTAGAAATCCACACCTTAATAAATCTTTAATTTTTTAAAAAATTACTGTATTGCATAAAACTCTGCAACCGGCCAAGTTAATCTTAGTGTAGTAGAAGCCCAAATAATTATGAAATAATTTATTTCTTAGCACTCAAAAATAATTTATTTGACACGATATTAATTTACCGAAAATAAGCCCAACTACAGCTTTTATTTTGCATTTCTTTTCACAGGAGCCTGAAATATTTCACATGCAGCCATGTGCCGACAGGACCCTGCCTGTGGGGTCCCTTAATGAATGCATTTCATTATCGGGGTCATTAACACCTCCTAAACGTGCTGCAGCGAGCACTTGGGAGTCTCTGCACCGAGAGCACTGCTCAGATCTGGGCTGCTTCCATTTAGCAGGCACCGAGTGCTAAAAAAATCTGAACCAGATGGGAGAGGGGTTTGCTCTTTGCACTACAGAGATTACTGTGTTATTCTAACACGAGGAATTGTACAATTGTTATGTAATGATGAAGTACTGCTCGCTTTAATGTTACACCTCGCACTGAAATAGGGATCCTGGCGCGGGAAGAAGCCCTGCCGCAGTTAAAGGCATTTTGGGGTGGTCTGCAGGTAAACACAGTGCAGAGAAATGCAGATTCCACACGGAATAACACAGAGCAAGGACTGGGAGGGGAAAGCTTTACAAATAGAGGCAGGAAAGTATTTACAAACACATCTCAAAGCTCCTGAAAATCCACCCAGCATCTGTGGGGAATGATCCGCAGCCCCGGGTGGGCTCAGTTCCCAAACCACACCTGCAGAAACCCCCAGGACGTGGGGAGAACCCCACAGCAGAGAAACCCCAAACTGACAGGCAAAGTTCAGAAGGGCTCAGCTGCACCCATTTGTGCAGGAAATCTGTCATTGGGAAATTCATTCCAGAACTGAGAATTAGTTGGGGTTTTTTTTTCTGGGATATCACCAAGTTCGGCATCAGCAGCAGATCCATTATTTTGCTGCTTTCTAAACTTTGGCTTTTCTAAACTTTGGCTCTTATGCCACTGTTAGCTGCCTGTTTGTTTTCATTTCCCCCCAAAAATGTAGACAAATTATGTGTCTGTTGATATCCCTGCGTGTAATCAGAGAGGAGGGGAAAGGACAGGCTGGGACTGGGCCTTAGGGCCCACTTTGCATTTGGGATACAGAACAACACAGCAATTTGCCAGGAAAATCACACAAGAAGAGATCTGCACCATGAAATTACAGATGAAACATTGGCCAGGGCATAGTTTGTATCAATTATTATGTTCGGCTTCATGTTTGAAGGGTACAAGAAACCATGAGGTTGGAAAATCCATTAAAATACTTCCTGGGGATAATAAGTAACAGTTAAGACACATTATTACAAGTAGGAAAGCACCACTTACTTGGAGACAATAAAAAGTTAATCATATGGAAGGTTTTGGGATTTTACATTGCAGAACCTGGATTTGGAAAGTCCTGAGGCTGCCATTACACTTTTAAAAATCAAAAACTCTGGGAAATCCAAGTTATTAAAGCTTAAGTTAAAATGTGTAACTATCAGCTGCTATTGCATTTTGTATTATCCCCTTCTGAACTCCAGTCCAATGATGACTACAGAGAATGGTTATTGATAAATTAATGATCTGTGAACTACAACTTACCCTGTCTTCTGCCAATAGGCTTTCCTCACCTAAAGTGTTGGGATCTTCCTCTTTACATTTCTGGCAAATTGCATTTTTATTGTTTCTGGTAAAAGAAAAAATAAATAAATACCAATCCCACGGTGCACTGCAGTTTAGGAGGTCTCTGTATAGGCACTGCCACAAATAAACCCATGAAAATTGTGATTTCCACTCAGAATCCATAGTCCTTGTTCACTAAAGGCCAATTCTTGAAAAAACACTGGTGTCAAAAAAGTTTTGCTCTTCTGTTTTTCAAGATCAGGACTATGCCCATTAATCTTATCTGTATTGCAGGAAAATAAGGGCAGCCTGAACCATAAATAGGAATAAAGATGTAAAGCTATTTATCCCATGAATGATTCAAAAACTCCAAGTAGGAAAGAGAATGTGAAAACTGAAGTCTTTTAAAACACAGAAAATGCCCATGTTGTCCAGACAGATACAGATATATATGACATTATATTCACCAAAACCCCATAGCATCCTTTATCAAAGGGCTGTGAAGTGCCAAGGAAGCCTTCGAGGTTAAATCAGAATGATTTTATCACAGACAGAAAAACTCCATCAGGCCTCAGAGACTCCCATGGCCGAACCAGGAGGAGGCAGGGAATATCCTGCAGCCCCCATGGAGATTCCTGGCAGCAGGGAATGCCAGCAGGCCAGGGAGCCCCTGGGCACTTACCTGACGATCCAGGTGAGGCAGGCAGAGCAGTACCTGTGCCCACACAGTGTCTGCAGGGCTTTCTTCAGGATGTTGTGGCAGTTGCTGCACAGGAACTTCTGCCCAGGCACGTCCTCACAGATGCTGGTGGGGTATCCAAAGGGGAACTCGTTCTCATCGGGGGCAGAGCTGGGGGGGTCCTGCAGGCTCCTGGGGCTGCTCTCAGCCATCTCAGCGAGCTCTGGCCGAGAGGAGAGAAAATCCAGGTGTTCCAACACAGCACACACTCACTGGGATGTGGGAGGATGCAGCAGAGCCCCCGAGCAGCCCCAGGGCTGAGCAGTCACCGCGCTGTGCTCGGCTGGGTCTGCAGTGACAGGCGCGACCAAATGTCACAGTGGGGTTTGACCTGCCACCAGCAGGAAATTACTGTGCACCTTTAAAATTTCCCTCAAACACAACACAAAAATAGACCTAAAAGTGCCCTAAAAAGGGCGGGTTGGGGTTTTCTTTCAAGAGTTTTTAGCTTATAGAAAGATGAGCTACAGTCCTGTCTGTCCTCATCACACAGGATTGTTTCTGCAGAGTAAATCCCCAACCACATCAATTCTCAAAATTCGTGATTTCACTTCATACACACAGGAACTGAGCAGCTGGTGTGTTGACAGTGACTTTCCCGAATCATAAGACTTGTGGTGAAATGACAAAGGAAATCCCAAGGCCACAAGCCCTTGATGCTGTGCTCTGGCCAGGCCCACCTGGAACCACATGTGCCAAGGTGTTGTGCACATTCAGTTCGGTTAGGTTTGCTGTGCTGTGGGATATTTTTGGAAATGCAGCCAAAATTGATTCTGGTGTTTCTTGGAAAGTCCAAGGAAGGTTTTCACCCAGGGAACCAGTGCAGTTTGATTATAATAACCCCTTCACTAAGGCTTTTTTTCCCCCCCATGACAGCACTGATGCACCATAACCTGTTTCAGTATTACCAGCAGTCACGCTGACTGAGAAATCTGAAAATAAATGACTGCAGGCTGCCGTGGGCAGGCCGGGCTGGCGGTGTGACCGCCGTGATGGGCAGGGCACAGCCCGGGCTGGAGGCTCTGTCTGGGAGCCAGCAGCGTTTTCCATGGCGTGGCTTGGCCAATTCCCTCTGCAGCATCGGAGCGGGAGCTCGGCAGTGACCGCAGGGGCTGCCCGGCCTGCCAGAGCCCTGAGTTAGAGCCGGCAGCACAAACGCCATGGAACCGAAGGGGTTCCAGCGGGTGCCGGGGGGACGGGGCGCTCACGGCTCCCCCGGCCCGCGGAGCGCGGCCCCGGCACGGAGCCCACCCCGGCTCTGGGGCCGAGAGCGGCCAGGAGCCCCGGCCAGCCCCCGCTGCCCTCCGGGCGCTCCCGGGGCGCGGTTCGGGCACCGGGCCCGTGTGTCCGGGGGCCGCGGGCGGTTCCCCGCAGCGGGGCCCCCTCCCCTCCATCCCTCCCGGTGCTCTCCATCCCTCCCGGTGCTCTCCATCCCTCCCGCTCCTCTCCATCCCTCCCGGTGCTCTCCATCCCTCCCGCTCCCCTCCATCCCTCCCGCTCCTCTCCATCCCTCCCGCTCCTCTCCATCCCTCCCGCGGCTCTCTATCCCTCCATCCCTCCCGCTCCCCTCCATCTCTCCCGCTCCTCTCCATCTCTCCCCGCATCCCCGCCTCTCCCGTACCTGAGCCCGCCGGGCCCTGGCAGGCGCTCACCGCGGGTACCGGGCCGCTCACCGCGGGTACTGGGGCCGGTCACCGGGGATTCCGGGGCCGCTCACCGCGGGTACCGGGTCCTCTCAGCGGGAATACCGGGTGTCTCACTGCGGGTACCGGGGCTCTCACCGCGGTACCGGGGCTCTCACCGCAGATACCGGGGCTCTCACCGCGGGTACCGGGCTCTCACTGCGGTACCGGGGCCGCGGCCGGGGGCTGGGCCGGCTGTCGGCGATGCTGCCTCGCTCCGGCCGGGAGGAGCGGGGAGCCCGAGCCGCGCCCCGGGGCCGGCGGGAGCGGAGCTTCCCCTGCTCGGGGCAGCGGCGCCGTCCCGGCCGCGGGCACGGGAACTGCCAGGGCAAAGGCCCCGCCGGGCGAATTCCCCCGGGCCGCCGAAATGGAGAATGTGGCGGCCGGGTCCTGCAAGCGCAGCCGTGCCGGGTGTGCCATGGTGCCCTGACAGCCCTGCCCGCCCCGAGCCCGACATCCCCGCACGGCCCCGGCTGCTCGGGGCAGCCCCTGCCCGGTGCGGGAGCCCCGAGCCGCCGGAGCCTCCGGGAAACCTCGGCGGGGCAGCCCCGCTGGGGCTCAGCCGCCAACGCAGCCCGGGATGGCACAGCAGGGAAACACAGGAGCTCAGCAATGGCTGCAAAGCCTTCTTAGAGTGCAGGGGAGATTCTACAAAGCAAAGTTTCATTATCAGCAGGAGATTCTCTTCAGCCCTGGCACGGCCTGCCACCCTCTCTAGTTCTGATAAAGGATTCAGTCAGAAAAAGAGTTGTACATGCAAATCTGTTCACCCTTCCTTGTGGGGAATATCCCCGGGGGTGAGGCCCTGCTGAGCACCGACAATGAAAAGCAGAGGTGTTTCCCTGGGTGCTTGGCTGGCTGTGCACCGCTGCCCTGGCAGGAGGCACCCGCGCAGCTTCTGTGGGTGTGCGGCTGCTGAGGGATTCCTCACACAGCGTTTGCCTGAGTCTGGCACCTTCCCCTGCTGGGAGTGCACAGACAGACACAACAGACACCTCAGCTCCACTTCCCTCCTCTCTGGGCTGATCTGATGGAGATCTGCAGTTCAGATCATCAGGGCTGGGTGTTAACTCAAAGCTAAGAGGAAAGTGTGACACAGCCCCAGTGAGGCCTTGGCCTGACACATTTGCCCTTGTTTGGGTTGTTAAAATCCATCCTAAGTTAATTTGGCCCAGGCGGTTTCTGCCAGGATGTGAGTTAAAACCTCTTTCAGAAACTGAAAGATTTCTGGATGTGGTTTTTCCAGCTTTGGGGGTACAAAGAGGTGTAAGACGTTAATTTTAGAATGATCACAGGGTCAGGTTCAGGGATGAAGTGGCAGCTCCACCTCTTCCCTGTGCCCTTACCTCACTCCTTTCCTCTGGCTTTGAGACTTTTTGAAAGTTTCTGTGATTCTGCTGCACCCCTGTCTCCAAAGGTGCTGAATTACACAAAGAAACTAAAGATAAGGTTTTGGTACTTTCCAAACTAGAGAGATTTCCTGTGGTAAATTTCCCCCATATGAGATCAGTTAACTGAAAACAGGATGTGGCTCAGAGAGAGATTAAAATTTGAAGCTTAGTTTTACTGTAGAGCCATTCCAGCAGTGCTCAGCATTGCAGGGCACTGTGTTACTATTTAGGGGGAATGACCATTTTATACCCTAGGGGAAAAGTGCATAAGGGAATATATTCCTATATTTAATATCACTTTTTAAAAACAAGCCAAGGTGTTGAGACTTTTAATTCTACAAATTTCCTAGGACATTGAAAATGGAATTTAGGTTCAGATGCTCCAGGTTTTAAAGACTGTAGTCAAAAGGAGAATTGCATTTCAGAGAGATGTTTAAGATAGGGATGTCTCCTTTGATGAAAACATGATTTTCAATTAGTATAAATTAGCTGGAACACATAAATTAGCTGTGCACATGTTCTAGAAAAACCTGAAAAATTAGTAAAACACAGGAAGGAAAATTTGCTAGTAAAAGCAAATCCAGTGCCCATGAGATTCAGTTCTTCTAGGAACTGGAGCTCAGTGCTTCAAGTCAAGGTTTCTGCCAGGTCAGAGCTCTGATGTGAAGGAGTCTGTAACTTCCACACTATTACTTATTTTCTGAATGGAACACAGTGTCTGGGAGGTTCTACCAATTCAAGATTAGAAAAAGAAGAATCATTAAATCTGATTATTGTTATCCTCCGTGAACTCAACAGCTTTGCCTCCTGTCTCTAATAAAATCTTTTTACATGTTTCAGTTTTATCTGTCTGTGCCTAGTACCAGTTGTAGCTCTGCTTTGTTACGGTGATACCCCAAGGACCAGCCCAGCCCTCACTACAAGAGCAGGGAAGTTTCCCACTAGGTTCCATAAATCTGGACTGTAACTCTCAAAGAGACATCAGGAATCAATTTTAATTTCCTCATCCCTGCTCTGCCTCAGGATTTTTCCCAGATCATATTCTCTGCAAGACAGAATTATCATAGGAATTTTTTCCTCCAAAGAATAGATGCTCTGGAACACCTCTCCAGCATTTGACAGCAGAAAAGCACCCAAAAATAGACACTTAATTTATGTATATATTTATGTGTGTTGCTTATTTCAATCACTCATTAAGCATTTTCCACAAGCCAAGCCAAGGAATCGCCCTGAAGAGCAGAGAGAAAATGAAAAGTGTTTATCACAGTGGCCTTGATGGTTTCCTACAAGCCAGAGCATTTCAGAGTCACTCACTGAGAGGTTTCTGAGGCTGCCCCTGAGTTTAGGCCACCAGGCAGATCTTGCTCATGTGGAGAAGCTCCCTGGTGGCCTCGTGCCCCAGTCTCTGTCCCCCAGAGCAGGACAAGCGTGGGCTGCAGTGTGTGAGCCCAGCATGGAGCGCTTTGTGCCAGTTTCCCCCCAGCACTTTGTGCCAGCTGAGGCTCAGCTCCCTGGCCACATGAAGGGTTCTGCTGTACTTGTGGTTGTGCTTCTGTTTCTCTTAATGTACAGAAAGCCTGAGCTAAACTGGAAAATTCTGAGCTGCTTCTTTCCATTCTTAATGCCTTGGAGAGAGCTCTGGGAACGGGAGCTGTGCCCACGGGGAAGGCTGCCAGAACACTCTTCCAAAGTCTGGATGTGACATGAAAAAACAAGTTCAGTTTCAGATATCTTTTGACTCTAAACCAGCTGGGAAAGTGTGGATATTCTATTGATTGACTGGGACTAATTAGTGGAAACAGAAAAAGGAAACATCAGATTTATTTAATATCTTCATTAATTCTCATAAATGACAAGAACTGAGGGGAAAGTGAAGGTTATGGCAAAACTCCTTTAACCCTTTCAGAAGTTGCTCATTTTGCTAATAGCAGTGAAACATAAAGATGTTTGAAGATGTTTTCCACATCAGAAGCAGAAAGAGACTGACTCTGCACTAACTTGCATCTCTCCTCCACTGAGCCCATAATTCCCTCTGCTATTGCAGAATGACTAACAGCATCAGGCTCAGCTTTCCAATGGTATTTTTCAGTGTGATTCATAATCCTGAGTAATTCCCACACCACCACTGACATGTCTATCTGTACCTGTATTTTATGGGCAACACACCTAGGGAGCACAGCAGCTCCAAGTGTAATCTGAGGTTTCACAAGGGGAAAACAAAATTCTCTTTATCCGCGTTGTAAAGGGAAAACAAAGCCCTCAACAAAACACTGCTCCAGCAAGAAGGAAAACTCCTGAGTGTTCACAAACCAAGATGTTTTAAGGAGGATTCTCAAGGAGAAGGGAAAATGAATTTTGAGCATAGGAGGAGCCTGAATGAAAAATTACAGCTGGAAGTGGGGAAAGCAGGTAAAAGAGGGAATAGGGAAAAAAGGTAAGTGCTTAACTCCTGAATAAAAAGAGCCCTCTCCTGAGGCCAGACCTCTTGGCAGCTGTGCCAGGGATGGGACCCAAGAGCCCAAAATCCCAGACATGTTCCCAGCAGTGTCCTTGGAGTCCAGCCAAGGAAACAGAACTTGTATCTCCACGTCCAACATCTGAATCACAAACTGGGTGTTGGAACCCCAAAGCCAGAGGAGGAGGCACACAGTGAATGTCCCCAGCTGCCCAGGCTCAGGGAAAGCCTGGGAGAAACCAAAACAGCCAAAGCCTGGCTCTGGAGGGCAGCAGGAATTGTGCTGAGGTTGCACAAGCAAAGTTTGGGGTTCCTCGGGGCAAGACATGGACTGGAAGGAAATGCAGCATTTCCTAAATCTGGTTCTCTAAAGTCACATATCCAAGAGCTTTTCTTATCATGAATATCTTGTTTCAAAGCCCTGGGAAGTGTTCCTGGGCTGGGACTAATCCCAGTTCAGCCCTGGGCATGGGGATTGGCAGGATCAGCAGGGACACAGGGCAGGAGCTCATGGAGGTTTAGGTACACCCCCCAGTTTCTGGTATAAATCCATGGAATCCTGCTAAATTATGTCAAGGATTAAGTTGATCCCTCATGGTTCCATAGGAAGCTTTTGATCCTACCTTGTTTTTGAGACTCCTGACCAAAACAGAAGCTTAGAAAAAAGCCCACCCTTTAATATTACACAGATTGGTGACTTCAAACTGTTGGAATTCACTGCTGCTGGAAATGAACACCCATTCCTACCTCCCTGTCAGAGCCTGGGGATGAATATCCTCTAGGACCTTATGGCAGAAGGTTTTAATGGAAAACTTTATGATTTAAGCAGTGAAAATGACATTTTTATGGCATATTGCTTTTTATAAGTAATGAAGGAAACCTGGCTAATCAGCCATGCAGCAAAGGAGCAATTTCAGTCACAGCTGCCACTGAGGCCCAGCCTGTCACCAACAGCTCAGCTGATGTCTGTAGTTTGCAATTCACCTTTCAGCAGGTACAGACTGGCACAGTGCATCCTTCAGTGGGGATGGGTGAGGTGTTCCTGACATCTTTCCTCTTTGGAAAGCAATTTTCCCACTGGTTTTTTTGTGCTGCAATGGAAGAAATCCTCTATGTGTAGATGTAGA